TTCCGTCTGTTAAAACTTTGTCATCTTTCCTTTTTAGGACGTCCCAAAAAACTTTGCCACTTTCCTTTTTAATCAATTATTTTGTGGTTTCTGTTATTTCTCTCTACTCTGCACAAACCTCAACCGCACAGTTTTTACTTTATTATTCTCCGTGCCGGTCAACTTTGACAAAATTTTAAAGGACGAAGGCGGTACAAAAGATAGAAGGTAGAGACTTGTTTGCCAAATATAGTCTAAATATAATTTGTTTATTCAAATAAAAGACCTTTCATGCATAAGGGATAGAGCCGGCCTCGAGGCCAGTTGGGCCAGTCTGGGTCTTACGATTTAGGGGCCCAAAAACACTACTCCTTATTACTCCATCGGAAGAAAGGCCGGAAATGACTTTGTCCATCGGAAGAACGGAAGAGGCTGCCCAGTGCCTAGCTGCAATTCAATTCCGATATCCGATTGACGCTGATTCTCCGCTTTATTGCTTCTGTGGCTCTATTCTTCTTCCGGACTTTGGAGTTCTTCTGTTCTGGCAATCCGTGTGACACCGCTCCCAATTTGAACTGGGATTAATTTATCCATTAATATTAAAATGTAATAGAAATTACAAATACCAATGTCGATGAGGATGACTAGTTGAGTTCGTGAATATTTATTCATTTTGAAAACTAGTTACAAAAAAATATTAATCATATGAGAAATGATTAATTGATTAAGTTAATACCGATTAATTATATTGTGTGTCGGACCCTAAAGAAACCGGGAAGGGACTAACTAGTATATTCTTGGACCACGTTAAAATTAGTTAAAAGCCCACGGATAAGAAAATAAGTTATATACGAATGTTTGGGTCGGGAAAAAAGTGAAGGAATAAAATAAAGAGACTTTTCGAGCCACTTTCTAATAATAGAAGGGTAAAGGGGTTTAAGCCCGTAACATTGGAGAGGGATATCCAACACATTTTAGGATCGATCTATTGAGGTCTACTAGCCTAAAATAATATAAGTAAACGAATAAAATTCATTTGGGTCGGAGTAAATTAAAAAGAGCAGCCCGCGAACCCGACCCAACTAAATTGGCCCAACTTTCTAAAAATAGAAAGATAAGGGAAGGGGGGTCTCTTATCCTCTCATTTGAGAGGCTATACGGGAGATTGAAGAGCTCCTTAGAGAGCTCCACCCAAGCCAGAGCTCAGGGAGAAAGGGAGGCCAAGAAGAGAAGCGAATCCGTTAGAAAACAAAGCCTAGCGGTAAGAATTTCGTAGCCCCGGTTCTTGTTCTTGCGTTTAATATATTTTTCGTATATGATTTTATAGAAATCATATGATGGATTCTAGGGGATGTTCTACACGTTTAAATGTGTAGAAAAATGATATAAAGTGTTGGTATTTAACCTAGAAGAATCGTTGAATCGATAGGAGTTGAAATCGCCGGAAACCGCCAAGTAAAAGAGGTTGTCTCGTGTAGCAGAGCCCGAAAGCCGCCCGGCTTTCGTGAAAGCCGCCCGGCTTTCACCTGCTGTCCAGATTCTTCATCTCCGATCGGCCTAGAACGAGGACGGATCGAGGGGCTTTGCTAGGGCAGCTAGTTGAGCACATAATAAGGTGAGGATGACTGACTATATTGATTATAATTAGTGAGTTAATTTCGTAAGATTACCTAAAGTTGTTAAATGTGATTTTCATGGATTATTAATGATTAATAATGCCTGAATGAAAATACTATTGTTTATGAGTAAATAAAGCATGATATACAAATTTGGGGGGAATTGTGTTTGATTATGTGATATGAAAGTGATGGCATGACAATGGAATTAACTATGAAAATATTGTGATGAAATATACTTTTACTTCATGTATAGAATTCATGAATGGATAAAAGGGATATTCTTGATATTGAGATTAAATTGTATTTGGATTGGAAAATCAATTGGAATGAAATGTTGGTTATGAATTAAGAACTTGGTTGTTCTAAGATTATCCGACTAGTATTGAAATACTAGTCGGGAGATTGAGATAAATAAATGATGAAATTAATCCTAAGAGATAGGATTGTGAATAGAGATGCCTCAAGTAGTCCTAAGAGATGCTTAAGGGTCGGAATGTATGAGTTCTAAGATATGTTAGGAGTAGGCCTTAAAGGCTACTCAAGGTAAAATGATTCTAGGCATAGAATTGGCTTAGGAATCGAATAACTTGACTAAGAGCGAGGCTCTAACAAATGTAGATTGACTAAGAGCGAGGCTCTAGCCAGACGTAGATGACTAAGAGCGATGCTCTAGCATAAATATAGATTGACTAAGAGCGAGGCTCTAGCCAGACGTAGATGACTAAGAGCGAGGCTCTAGCATAAATATAGATTGACTAAGAGCGAGGCTCTAGCCAGACGTAGATGACTAAGAGCGAGGCTCTAGCATAAATGTAGATTGACTAAGAGCGAGGCTCTAGCCAGATGTAGATGACTAAGAGCGAGGCTCTAGTATGAAGGTAGGTTGACTAAGAGCGGGGCTCTAGCCTAATGTTGATGACTAAGAGCGAGGCTCTAGCATAAATGTAGATGGCTAAGGGTGAGGCTCTAGCACGTCGGTATGATAATAAGATTGAGCGAGGCTCCATGATGGCTAAATAATGTAATTAAGAAATGCCCCATGACGGTAATATAATTTACCGAAGGTTATAACAATCGTGACTAGTAGTCACGGGGAAATAGGGGTGGGCATTTCAAAAACGAATATGGGCCACGGGCCAACTACTTGACTCTATATAAAGTAAGTATATTTTTAAAAAGGGGTAACCGAGGGTTATGGCCTATAATATAATACCACCCTAGATTGAGGGTCTTAGAAATTGAAACATTGATTATACTTAGTATAGTTGTCATTGTACTTGTCAAATGCTTCCAAGTACTGACCTCCCCTTCACGGGGGAGGCCACCTCACAGTTTCAGGTAGGAGTTGAGCTTGCTACCAGGGCCCGTTGCTTCGGGAAGATCTAGGAGAGAAGACGTGGTTCGTGCTTCCTCCGTCTCAGTTTCAAAACAAATATAATAATGCTCATGGATATTATTTCCTAAATAATTATTTGGGGGCTTGTATGCCTAATGATGCCAAGTGTGGCTTGAACATTTGTAATATTGTTTCCGCTGCTTTAAATGAATATTTTGCATTATGTTTGTTTATGGATGTACTATGTGTGAATGATATTCATGACGCCTTGTATAATATGGATGAGTTGAACTGCGGTTGACTATTCGTACTGTACGGCGGGTTGTTGACGTGTCCGGCTAGGTCCGGGGCGTGACAATCCGACCTAAGAATCCACGTTCTAGCGCAGTGCAGGTATTACATTATTAGTCTCGGTCTTTTACACTTTTGCACAATAGCTTCTGGGTAACCTATAACGCACGGAAATGGCTGGGGGAGGGAGTTTCCGAATATTGGATGGAAACGTTCGAACGTTTCCTAGCGCGGGAAACAGCAAAAACCCGTACCTGGGCCGTTTCTCGATTTTGGGAAGTTCTGACATGCGTTTCCCGGTAAACAAACCCAGTTCCTATAAAAAATTGGGCCTTTTAGTTTGAAATTTTATCGATTCAAGACTCGAAAGATAGATGAATTATCAATCCGGGACCCGAAAGATGAAATGTATCTATATAGGGCCCGAATGATGGAAAACTATCAATTTAGGACTTGAATGATCATAAATTATCATTTTGGGACCTAAGTTGTCTGAAATTTTATTAATTTTTATCGGAAATTTTTTAGTTTTATAAAACTAATAAACTTTTGTGAAGAAAAGTTTATCAAAAATTAGCAATGGAATTATTAAAAAATTAAATAAATCATAACCTATGAAATTTTAGGTCCTAGATTGATAGTTTTTCATCATTCGGGTCCTATACCGATAGATCTCTTCTTTCAGGTCCTGAAGTGATAATTCATCTATCTTTCGGGTCCTGAATTGATAAATTTCCTAATAATAAATGATAAAAGGCTTTCCTAATCATAACATATACTACCTCCGTCCCGAAAAAGTTGGTTAAATTGACTTTTATCGGTTGATGACAAACTTTGAGCAATGATTTTAGTTATTATATTTGTATATAATTTATAAATTTTATACTTTTACGAAAATATTTTCAATAAGAAATATGTGATATAAATTTCAAAATTTAAATAATTTCGTATTAAAATATATTGCCAAAAAAGTAAATTTGAAAAACCTTTTATCTTCCTTCAAAATTATTGCTGCAATAAAAAGCAATGATGCAAAACGGCGCTACTTAACTACTTAAGGAAGCGAAGGACAATGCTGCCATGCTGGTGCCCATGATAGTCATTTTCCTCTACTTTTAACACCGTTTGTTTTCATTCGTCTCGGCTAAGCTTTTTGGCTTTGCTTATAACTTTGCTTTTTTTGTTGTCCCAAAAACTTCGCCACTTTCTGTTTTAATCGATCAATTTGTGGTTCATGTTATTTCTTTCCTCGGTACAAATCTCTACCACAAAGTTTTTACACTTTATTATTCTACGTGCCCGTCAAAGTTGGTAAACCTTTTAGGGACAGAGGGAGTACTATCGTATCTGGTTCTTATTTGGTAATCAAATTTACACCAAAACGGTGCAAAACAGTGCCAAAACAATGTCAAACAGTGTCACAACAGTATACTTTATAGTAAAATTTCTTAATACTACCTCCTTCCCTAATAACTTTGACAAGTTTAACCGGCACGAGAATTAATAAAGTGAAAAGTGTGTGGTTGAGGTTTGTGCAGAGGAGAGAGAATTAATTGGAACCACAAATTCTTTACTTAAAAGGGAAAATGGCAAAGTTAATGGGACATCCAAAAAAGGAAAGTTAACAAAGTTATAAGGGACAGAGGGAGTATGTGTGAAGTAAAAGTGTCAAATTAATTAAGAAGCGGAGGTAGTAAATTAATCTCCCACGGATTCCAAAGTTTTTTCTTTTTAAATTACCCCGTGTACCTTTTTCATGACAAAAAATACTTAGAAAACTACACCGTATTAAAGTACGTAGTATTATACACTGAAACTACATAGATCTGAGTAATGTACCTGACTGATGAGTCTATCTGACATCTTAAAGCCTTCAAACCATCACATTCCGCTTGAAGTTGAAGCCCACACTTTGATCTGGGATTTTTCTCAGATAGAACTGTAAAGATTCGATTTTTAATCTGATTCAAATAGTTCGAGGTCGTTAATTCCAAATAAAGGGTTTCTTCTGCACTACTACTGGATGAAGCTAGGGGGTTTAGGCTTGTAAATGACAGTTCATTGAAGAAAGTACTGATTTTGGCCATTTGGGAAATGGGGCTTTCTTGAAACTTGAAGCTCAATCAAGAGGGAGAGTTAATCTGGCTACCGGTAAAGAAAGGCGCAATCTTTGAGGCGTAAAAATGTTTCAGCTGTTGCTATTACTTCTGTGCTCCGAGGGTTTGGTGGCTTTCCTTCTAGTGGTGAAGATTGGGCCTTTAAGGGAGCTGGTGATGAATGGGCTGGATCAGCTGAAGACGATGAAAGGGACTGTTTTGACCATTGCAGGTGTTTTTTGTGCTATCCTCTTATCCCACTTTTTTAGCATTGTGAGGATCCAAAACAAGGGTGCTAAGCTTGGTACCATGACGCCTATGGATCAAGTACTTTGGAGGACAAACTTGTTGGAAGCCACTCTCATAGGTAAAACTGTAAAACTGACTGTCATTTTGCTTCAACAGATTTACTTTTTTCATTTGTTTTGTTTGCGATGGGAAGTTAATTGCTTCTTAATAATTTCTTATGTTTGAATATTGGATTGTGTTAAGATTGTTTTGCAATGTTTCTTCAATTAATAGGGCATTCCGGAACTAAGGTGTATTTCTAGTGAACTTAGGGCTAGTTGGTCCGAGGGTTTTGGAGCGCAGAGAAGGGGATGACTGGATGAGTGATATTTATCATTTAAATAATTTGTGCGTTTAGCCTGTTGGACATAAAGTGAAGATAGAAGAATATATGGTAGAAATATATGATGTAAGTAAGTATGTAACTAGTCCGGTAACTCCGTAAGTAGTCAAAAAAGTTTGAACTAATAAATAGAGATAAAATAGTAAAACTAAATCACTAGAGTGCTTCCTTCCCTCCGAATACCCGAACCAAACAAGCCTGAGTTTGCTTTATGAAAAGCTTCATGTATTGTGTGTGCTCCATTGTAAATTGCACTTCCCCAAGTGTAATGTTTACATAGATATGATCAATGTGAGTCTTCGGAGTGTTAAAATATGATTTTGATTGCAATACATCGGATAATGACATTGCAGGTTGCTGTTTGTGACAGATAAAATGAATTTGATGTTAATTGTTGAAGAAGGTAATATAGGGGTTCGGACACTAAGTGGGGGCAGACGATAAAGGAAAGATGGGACAAAGATAGTGGGACAAAGGTAGTAATAAAGAGGAAAACATTATTGTGCTCAAAGAAATAAAACAAAGAGCAAAGCTAATTTTGTTAAGGGCTTTTGTGGTCTTGTTTGGATGCAAAAAAAAATCAAAAACAAAAAGAAAAGCAGCAGATGACTTGCAGTGACCTTATACAATTCTTTCTTTTATAGGATTTAATAAGTACATATTGATCATTAGTGTATAATGCACTAAAATATGATTTTGATTGCAATACATCGGTTAATGACATTGCTGGTTGCTGTTTGTGACATATAAAATGAATTTGATGTTGATAGTTGAAGAAGGTAAGAGAGGGGTTCGGACAAACCAGGTGGGGCAGACGATAAAGGAAATAATTGATTTGCTTTCAATTCTATGCTTTGGTTTGCTATTGGTTCATAGATAAGGCTTTACTTTTATGCACAAATTGCCTTTTAGTCTATACCTGAAGAGTTGCAGATAAAGAACACCATGATATGTCAAAATCCATGCTTTTCTATAAGAATGGAATCCATGTGTCCATCAAAAAGGCATTGAGCTCTCTTTAAACGATTTGAGAACTAGTGTTAGGCACAAGTAAATACATAACAAGTAGGCTAGGATTCAGGAATGTGAAGCATGCTGATAAAAGATTGTGTATTGTTGTTTTCGGGGAATTTGATTTTGCACCCCATTATTGAAATCAGTAATATTTGCATCGCACATTTGTGAATCTGCCCTCCATTTTTCTTCCGAAATGGAGTTTGCACCCTCACTATTAACACAATGTTCTAGCTTTGGGGGTGCAAACGTTAATGGTTTTAAAAATGGGGGGCAAACTCAAATATGGATGACAAGCAGGGTTAAAACTCTATTTCCCTGTCATTTATTACGACTAAATTCTCTTGAATTGATTCCTCCCCTCCTCATATGGTGTTCGCTGTGCACTCTTAATTACAATCTTGACTTTACAGGATTCTCCCTATTTCTTGGTTTCTTGATTGATAGAATCCATCTCTATCTGCGCGAAGCAATTTCATTGCAAAGCAGCATTGGGACTTCAAAGACTGAAGTTGAAAAGCTTGAGAAAGAAAAGATGCAGTTCAATGAAAAGGCACAGAAGTCCGAAGAGGAAGTAAAGCAACTCCAGAAAGAAATCTCAGGTTTGAAGGATGAAGTAAAAAGGGTATGCAAAGAGAATGAGGAAAAGGTTAAAACGGCAGAAGATCATGTTAATGCTCTTCAAAATCAATTCGCTGGACTTCTTCTGGAATATGACCATCTATTAGAAGTGAACCAAGAACTTCAGAAACAAGTAGATGGTAAACAGTATTAAGGATTGGGGCTAACAAGGAAATAGAACTCTGCCCTGGCTAATCTAGATCCTGTTTTTGTTAATCCAAAACTCAATTCCTGACATCTGCTAGCAGATCATTATTTTAAACCTATTTGGAAATTCAATCGGAATGTTTGAGAAGTTATTTTGTGGTCTTGCCTTGTTATGTTATTTGAGTTTTTACTTTTAAACCAACTATGGAAGTTTTATTCTTTACTCTCTTGTCACACGTTGATATACCAGAATGTCAATGATTGAAATAAAAAACAATGTAGTAGAAATAATAAAAATATCTTATGATGATATTTAAAACTACTAAAAATAAAATATCCAAAATAATACGTAGTATATTACTATACTACGTAATAATTAATGGTTGTGTACATGATTGTGTAAATGTAGTACGGAGTATACACATTCAAAATGGATTATAATTAATTTAACTACCTATTTCGGAGAGGAATCCATGGTCTCGTTTCCCTCATATATATAACTCGTAACTGTCGTTTTACTTCAACAGATAAAATGGGAAGTTGGTTGCTTCTTAATTATTTGTTATGTTTGAATATTGGATTGTGTTGAGATTTTGTTTTTCACTGTTTCATCAATTAATAGGACTTTCACCGGAACTAGTGAACAACTAATTTTAAAAAGTTTAGATCTGAAACATTCAAACCAGACGAACTAACCAACTTCTTAATCATATTCTCTCACACATAGCCACATATGAGTGTACACACACCGGCCACTTTCCACAAGGTTCTAGGCCAATCGGTTCCAATTCTCCCTAAAGTTAAGGAACCGTACTAGAGCTGACCTAGGGAAAACCTAGGCAGCGATATGATCTCCTAGTCTTTTCTCTGATTGGCAAGAGTTTTCGACGATAACGACTTTCTTTGAAGAGTAATGAATCAAAGGCTTTCTTATGCTTCCGCTCTTTTTCATTACCACCCTCTAGGATTCTGGATTTTGTTTGGCTTCTTCTTTGGTTGTGACTTTTGTTCGCTTCATGTGAGCGTTAGATATGTTCTCCTAGCAATGACTAGAGGAAGTGTGTTCCTAGCCAGTGTAACCGATCGAGTGGTGAATTTTCACTGTTCATGGTTGACAAGACTTGTTCAACCTAATTCTTTTAAGACTCCAATAGGATGTCGTCCTCCTGAACACCATTTTCATTTTCATTTTCATTTACCCCAGTGCCGCAAAGGCTCCCACCTACGGTGGGGTAAGGGGAGTTGGATGTACGCAGTCTTACCCCTGTACTAAAGCACAGAGAGACTGTTTCCGGATGACACATAGTGAAAATCGCGTCCAAAATTGCATGGACTGACTGCTGCTCCATAACAAAGAAGTGCAGACAGTTTAGTGAGCCATTTTGCTTTATTCCATCATAATCTCAAGCCAAAAAATGAATCTTTGGCTCCATTGCAAATGATGGAAAAGTCCTCCTGAACACCGTCTCAAAAAAAACTAGAACTCAACTGGTCTCGTTTTCAGTGGTTGGTCAAACCACTGGTTTAATTTAACCAATTTCTGCTTGATTAAGTTTTCTTTGTTGGTTGTTGGTCAAATGGATTCTCCATTTCTGATGGTTGGTGAAGTCATATTTTTTATTTGTAAGATTTTGGTTTATTTTTTTTGTTTTGGGGTAGCAAGTGCAACAAGATATTATTGCTGAATTAACGGTTTAGAAGTATTCATGAAATCTTTTTCGTTCGATGTCTCGTCCATTGTAGTCTGAGCTATTCATTCATTTGTTTCTTTACTATCATTAATGAATAAATTAGTTTTTTGATTTTAAAAAATAACCATAACTAGAACTTAAGGATCATCATTTCACTCATGGGCTCGTAAGCCCGTGGGGCCTATCCACCAATGTATTATCGAGTTTAGTGATTTTTGGGATAAACATTATAACGTGTTGAAAGGATTTAGTGCTTTTTTATTTTAATTCTCTTGAACATTGTTTTCCTCAAAAAGATTAGTAAACAAACTTCAGGGTACGCCAGTCTGAATAATAGACTAGGCTGAATCATGACCAATCTCGGGCCTAAACATATGCAAGCCTGGTCTATTTAAACAAAAGTCTGGCTTGACTGATTCCGCCCATAGAGATTAGAGACTCATCCACTTAGGATGGTTTCACTTTTAAGTTGGACTTGATTTAGTCACCAAACCAAACAAGATTTATAATCTAATTTTGGATTTAAAATGGCAGATTGAACAGTGATCAATGGTAAAATAGTTGAAACTAATTACCCAAAATTTATTCGTTCAGTTAGAATAAAATGTAATGTACTCTCCTACAACACACTTAACGCCTCAAAGGCTCAAATTATCAAACCATTACAAGTCATATAATTTAAACTAACCTTTTAATGAAAACGGGTTCAAACTTTGTTTCAGAAAACTATAAACAAAAAAGAAAAAAATCTAAGTTATCTGATGCTATATTTTAGCTGAAAATAGGGCTCATCACTTTTTTCTCCACTCAGTACGGCCCCTAGTTATCTCAACTCCACCACTGGATAGTCTAAGCAAATGCACGAAGCACTTCCGATCACTGTTAATGGATGCAGGCTCATCAAATGGTTCAAGGCTTGTGAGAGAATCAACCACATCATCGTGCTGGCATTCTCTTTTATAATCCAGCGTGATGGTTTGCAGCTCATATGTGTCAATGATTTCTTGAGGCATACTCTGTTTTAAGAAACCCATGTTAGCAGTTTTGCACCTTATGATAATAGATGCCATGATGGCAACAGCAACAACTGTATTATACCAATGCTTCAACTGGAGTTATGAGGGGTCTAGTAGGTTTTAAAAGGGGAATTTGTCATTTCACCGCATGTTTTACCACAATTATTGGCTGTGTTTCATGTTTTAGTTCGTTTGACTTTACACCCCTAGGATGCAAAGTCAAATATTGCCATATTGGGATAAAATATGGGGTGCAAACATCAAATTTCAGTTCTTTTTTACTGGAGTTTTTACCAACCTCTAGTACCCATCCAATGTAGGTGACGAAGTTAACATGGTGGTTCATGTCCAAATCACTTCTTCTTGGCTGCAAAGTATAACTGAATATGTCAGTACTCCCTACACACATCAGGGTTCTACCACAACACTTAGGGTCTGTTGGGACTTGGGAACATGAGAAATGTTAGAAAAACAAACTAGTGAGGTAAATATAGGGGGATTTTGAAGGAAAGAAAAATGTTCAGGAAAGTAAAACATTTGTTTGACATCAATAAATTTATTTTTAATGTTTGATTGTACTTGTGTGTGTATTTATTTGATAGGGAGTAAAGAAATAAGATAACTGTATTGAAAAATTGAACAGATGGCAAACCATCCAAGAGCTCTTGAGAACCCTCCTGCAAGAACATCACTTGCCCAGCCAAAAGGTGCTGATTACTTTATTATCAACTCTTATTGTCCTTCAAAGGAAGGTCTAATTTATAGGTAAGAGGAGTTAATTAAGTAATACAATTCAACCCATTCGATCAATTTGTCCCTGACTATTTGCCAACCAAAATCAATAATCAATCAACACGGCAATAGCTCATTTATTCGATATATTATATCTTAACTGCTAGATGATATTCCTCAGGCGTATCATTATTCCTATCGTAAATTATAAGCAATCTTATTATATTAAAAAATTTAAAAACACAGACTATTTTTCATTTTCCATTGCATTTTCCCTGATAAATCCAAATATAACAAAATGAATTTATGTAGCATTTCCTTTCCTTTCACTGGCGTTTTCTGGGGACCAAACACAGCCTTAGTATTCCAAAGTGAATACTTACCACTAGCCGTAAAACAGAATACTCGGCAGGATCTTCCACCTTAAGTATTTTCTTTGAGCTGGAATTGTTCTTCTCATGGAAAGAAAACCTAGCAATGGATAAGCTCATTACCATTAACACTCTACATAAGAGCATTGGAACACTCTAATAGATGGAAAACATTAGAAGCGAATAAGAGATAGAAAACAAGCACTCCATTTTTAACATCAATATGGTACTTGAGAACCATCCTGAAAATATTTGGCACATCAAAATATCAAATGATCACTGTCATCTTCACGATCAACACCTCAATTCCTTCTATGTTATGGTCAGTGGCATATAGAATTAAGTGCCACTAATTTTTTAAATAGAAATTGCTCTAAATAGGACTAAAACTTAGAGAAAATGCACAGAGAGTATTACATGTACTTTATTCCCGAAATATGACTCATTTAGTCCTATTAAAAGTACAAAACTTCCCCTATTAGGAGTTAATAAGTCCTGTTTTAGGAAGAAAACAATGATAGTCTCATAGTCCTATTTGTGCACTTTCTTTATGTTTGGTCCTATATAAAGAATTTTCTCTTTTTTAAAAGTTAGTCAAAAGTGTATATATGGAAACTTTTAATAGCAAAATTTTACTTTGAAATTCCACAACTGATCATCGCAGATTTTTCTTTCTAGTTACCTGGAAAATATCTTGACACATCCACAAGTTGAGATAGTTACTGCAGTCATGTCTCATTACACAATTGACATTGGATAATCAACAAGCGCATAATGGAACATGACCTAGCACATTAAAGGAAGGAAAGAAGACTAGACAAATGGTATCGCATGCATAATTGCACTACAATCAATGATAACTTCTTGGTAGAAAGCTTACATGAGAGCATTACCATAGCTTCAGAGTATTAAGAAGCATATAGAACAGAAATCAGGCATTTGTTAACACACAAAGTTTAGAAAAGTGCAAGAATCAAGATAGTGAAGAAAGGCACAGGCTTTCTGCTATGCTGCACCATTGCATTAATTTTATTAATGGGATCAATGCATTAAAATTTTGAGCAGTCATCAAATCACATGAACTAACTGGTAAACCTTTTGGCATTGGGAAAATGTATAGAGAGGAATACTACTTACCTTGGTGGGTTGGGGCAAAAAGGTAGCAACTCATTACGAACATCATCAACAACTTTCTGAAGCCGTCTAGTGTCTTGGTTCATCATCAACCACATGCTGCAATTAATTAAAACATTTAAGTATCCGTTAGAGCATGAACCACCTAAAGGAAAATCAGTAGGTGAAAACACTTGCGGCAACAGTAATGATGTTTCTTAGATAGAAAATTTATCATTCAGAGATTATACTATATACATAATTACATACTACTCCGTATATAACATAACAGCACAGTAAATGGTCATAACTGCATATACATATTCCACTACACCTGGTGCATCTTCCAATTACTTCGCCGTTTGCACAGTCCTTAATTTGCCAATCACGCCGAGTCCCAATTCTTCCCTCACTGGCAATCCAAGTCTCTATCTCTATGACATCACTCCTGCTCAAACAATGAGTTGATCATAGAGTTCATGATTTCAACATAATAATTGTACATAGAAGAAGGAAATTAGTACACTACCAGGCAGGGTACTTAAAAATCTCAATGTGCATTCGTGCAGCAACCCATATAAGACGCAACTTCCTCATGGTGTCAGTTGTCGCGAATCCATCTGTTGAAAATCCTGCACTCTGAGCATGGTTGCATGAAACCTCCTGCAAAGGAAAATGTTAAAAAATCAACTTCAGATCTGTAGAAGCTGTATTATTAGGAAAATGGTTAAGAAAATAATAAAGAATTAGATGTTACTAAAAATTAAAAAATAATGAAATGTCATAAATCTTAAATTGAACAATGTATCTAGCAGATTGACTGACATTTAAATTGTCAGAATTACGGATGTGGCACGGAGAATCGAGTTAAAACTAGAGGACTTGAGATAAATCAAAACAAAATCCTGGTGGAAGTAAGATGATTGAATGCTGAAATTTAGTCTTACCGAATTCGTATGTGTAAAGAAGAGAGGCCATTACCTGCAAGAGATTGGCGATGGATTCAATGGTGGCAGTTTTGTTGACCCCGACCTCAGAGCATCGAATGATATACTTCTCCTTGAACGACGACCTGTCTGCCGCAAGGCTACCATGCCGGAGCCGACTAGCAAGGCTAGCCTCAGAGGCTGCCGGCTCACTAATCTTGGGCTCCTGAACTGACACGGCCATAACCGGACTAGGACGTAGAGATTCACCGAGAACGACGGCATTCCGGCGTCGATTGAATGTCAGATTGATGGGATGGAGAAAATGGGGAGAGTTCAGGAGGGCAAGATTGGAGGTGCCAAGAATGGCGTTGCAGGTCGACAGCATTGTCTGTGAATGCATAAATTCACAGATACGCCGGCATACAAGAGATTGTTCGCTCCAGAGAGTAGAGTCTGGTAAGCAGTTTTATAGCATCGGCGACTTTGGCGATGAGAACGATGCTGCAAGGATCCAGATTAGAGGTGGAGGGAAATGACACTGGTATTTGTACTAAGTATATAGCGCGTGGGCATATATATATATATATATATATATATATATATATATATATATATATATATATATATATATATATATATAGGATGCGGTTCTAATGAAAACGATGCTTAATGTGAGAACGTGAGAACACATTCTAGCTTTTGATTTGGAGAAACGGACAGTTCATTAATTGGAAGGTGCATAATAAAATCATACACCGTTTCACACACATACGCATCTCACAAACTAATTTGAAGATGCATAGCATGATTAAAGGGTAAAAAGGTCAAAATATGGAGGTTATCACTTACCTAACATTAGGAAGGATAAATGGTCAAATCATATAAATTGGTTTAGTTTAAAAATTGATTTAACTTTTTAAATTATAATCTGATTTCAACAAAAATTATATCAAATTAAATAATTTTTTTTATCTTTCATATGACACAAATATGTCATATATAATTTTGTTTCAAAAAAATAAGTATAATATGTATACAATAGACCATAAAAACATATTCAGCTACCGCATGCACAACAATATGTATCTAACACACAACAACTAATATCCAATGCACAAGAACAAATATTTAACACATAATGTGTATAAGAAAAACTAACACAAGTATCTTAAGCACAACATCCAATATCTGATGCACAAAGAACTGTATCTGACACACAACAATTAAAAACTAATTAGTATCTAGCGCATAAGGATTTCACACATCTTAAACTAATATATAACACACAAGAATCAATATCTTATGCACAATTTGAATATATGCTCAAGAACCTGTACCTAACATATACTCATAATATATATAATCACAACAAGTATTTATTGCACAAGAGTCGGTATTTCACAAACATCTCTAACTACCGCACAAGAACTTGTATTTAACACACACGACTAATATTCTAACGGAAGATCAATATTTCTCACTTTGAACGACTAATATTTAACGCACTCAGATTACAACATTAACAAAAATGGAGATATGGCTCATGTTGAACAAGGAAAAATAATGGAATGTAATTATTCCATTCCTAAAATAACTCCACGTTAATCAATCATGGTAGTTACCAAAAATACTACCCAAGAGTATAATACAAAATTGCCCTTATTATTTAAATCAATTCTTACGTGAGATGCATCCAGATGAAGGGTTGTGATGTGTTCTCACGTTAAGACTCGTTCTCATTTGAACCAATATATATATATATATATATATATATATATATATATATATATATATATATATATATATATATATATATATATATATACTCCCTCTGTCCCTAATAACTTTGCCAAATTTGACCGGCACGGAGATTAATAAAGTAAAAGGTGTGTGGTTGAGATTTGTGCAGAGGAGAGAGAATGAAATGGAACCACAAATTCTTTACTTAAAAGGGAAAGTGGCAAAGTTAGTGGGACATCCAAAAAAGGAAAGTTGGCAAAGTTATATATATACGGAGTAATAAAGATCAAATGAGAACAATGTTTAACGTGAGAATACCACATATATACTCCCTCCGTTCCAATTTGATTTTCAAAACAAATTCCTATTTTGGTTGTCCCAAAATGATTTTCCACTTTCTACTTTAGGTATGTAAATAAGAATAAAGTGACAAATCTACCCTTACTTTTACTTTTTCTTCATTAATTTAAAGACATCTACTTTTTACTAAGATGGGCAAAAGTGTAAAAAGAAAACATCATTTATTGTCATTCCTTAATTCTTGTGTCGGTCAAAATTTGCAATTCAATTCAGGATGGAGTATATATATATATATATATATATATATATATATATATATATATATAGAGAGAGAGAGAGAGAGAGAGAGAGAATGGATCAGCTGCAAAGCCTATTTCGGCTGAAAAGTGAGAAGCAATAGAAACCGTCCGATTAAAAGTAGATCAAAGGCGCAATTTAAAATCGAGAAGGCAGAAGGTCCACTAAACAACGAATATCTCTCTGCAAAAGCTTGCACGACAGAGTTTCAGAAGTTATGCGCCGTTTCAAAATTATTTTCAATCACCTTCGCAAATCACCTTTACGAATTCAATCATTCAACGACGAACATCACAATAACTCCGACGAAGTGCAACAGATTACGAACACCGTCAAGATTACGAAGATTTGCGGCGCTAGGTTATTTCTCGAAGGTGAGTTGCTTTAGAAATTAATGTTTATACGAATAAGTTCAATACTTCTTTTATATCCAGCTTCAGAATATATTAAGTTATCAGATTTAACCTAATTTGTAGATTTTCATTAAGATTTCTTACAAAGGATTACAATAACATTTGAAAAACAGGTCCGGTGTTCATATATTTTCATCCACCTGCAATTAAAATATAGCAATTAAAGGTAAGCTTGGTAATTTTTGCGTTTTAATCCCTTGGCTATTCTCTGTTTGTGCTCTATAAGATTTGTTCTAGGTTTCTTCAAAATGTTCTTTGTTGCATTCGATTCCTTTATACACGAATGTGTTTTGAAGAAATCCTTTAAATGTGAAATCTACCCACCTTAACTTGCTGATTTTGATCTAATTATATGTTTTCCCCCAAATTTCTTCAACTCTATTACACATTTTGTTTGTGGCTTTATGTAATTTGTTTTTATGATTCAATTCTTAATAAGATTGATAAAATGTTGTTTAAGCATGTAAAACCCTCCATTCTTAATTAGATTATTTTAGGTAAAAAGACTCTCACTTATAAAACATTCTGATTGTTTAGAGATAACAAAGATATTCTGAATATTATTTTTAATGAAAACAAACTCACTTTTTTCTTTCAGATTATAACAAGAAATAGAAGTTATGCATTTATTTTTAGAAGTGCACTTAGTTAATTAGAAGTTATGAGAAAATAAGTGTCTCAAGAAGACGCAAGTTCTTTTCTGCAATGGCTCAACAACCGAGACAAAACAACTCAAGAAGAACTTCCAATCTCTCTCGCAATCAGCTCGGAGATCTTGTTGGGAGTTCGACAAACGTGAATCAAACGGACTCCAGCGAAGTTGTGCTTCTCTGAACTTGAATCGATCGCACTCCATCAAAGTTTTGTCATATTTCTATGAACTTCAATGAACTGGAATCAGACATCGTTGAAGTTGTGTTAGATTTCTCCGAACTTATGCGTGTATCTTCAAAGGTAATTTTAAGAAATTTGATAATCTTCGACTTTATTCATAAACTTTTCTCATTCAATTTCTAAATGTAGATTTAGGTTAACATATAGATTTTCATGCATTCCAAGTAGTCGATTTTGGTTAACTTATAGATTTTCATCCAGATTTGTTGAAGCTGATTATAGTTAATTTGTGAGGAAATCTGGTTTTAATTTTATATTTATAATCACATGTATTTGAGTAATTTATTGATTTTACAATTAGAACTTATTGTTTGAGCAATATAGTTTGATTAATTGGTTAAGGGTATCAAATGGAGTGAATGAAACTTTCAAGAAAAAAAACTAATAAAAAGTTGGAGTTCATTGAGAAAGAATGTGAAGATGTTTCATTGCAGAAGCCTGTTGAAGCATTATTGTTGTTGAGAAAGGTAATTGAATTTTTATTTTTCTAATTTTGATTAGTAAATTTTAACTATAATAAGGAATCATATTTAACATATTTAAATATTATAATCAATAATGAAGGACATGCAAATTGGGGTCTCATCAAGCAAAAGTTTGGTAGAACAAGACTAGACACACAAAGAGAGAAGCAGAACATGTATCAAATTTCAACTGAAATAAACAAAACTCATAATGTGTGTAATGAGAGAGCAGAAGGTATAGAATGCATACTGCTATTTAAAAGTTAAGATTTAAATATTAAAAGTTAAAGTTATTTATTTAAAAGTTAATATTTCCGTTTATCTTTTATATAGACATGCTGAACAACGAAGATGACAGTGAGACAACTACCAGATATGAAAAAGGTATCTTAATTCACTTAATATGCAATTACTAAAACTGTGGATAATGAAATGTATAGAATGTAATATTTCTAATTAAAAGTTTGAAGTTCAATATTAAAAGTTGAAGTTATTTATATAAAAGTTTGAATATTTCTGTTTTGGTTTTTTTGTAGACGAGTAGAACAAGAGGGAAATGAGGAAGCTTCAAGGAATGAAGAAGGTGTCTTATGTTGTGTTTTAAAAATATTTCTCTATTAATAATGAAACTCAGGGCACAAATAATTCCCTTTATATCAAATTACAAAAACTATGGGTAGTGAAGAGTATAGAACGAACACTTCTAATTAAAAGTTAGAATTATTTTATTAAAGTTCAAGTTATTTATATAAAAGTTTGAATGTTTCGGTTTTGGGTTTTTATAGACAAGCATAACAATGCAGACAGAAATGTGGAAGGTGCATGGAATGAACAAGGCTTTATCTTATGTTGTGTTTTAAGAATAATTTCCTTACAAGTAATATGAAACTCAAGGCACAAAATGAAAACAAGTTATGCAATTACAAAAACTGTGGGTACTGGAGAGGATAGAATAATTACATCTAACTAAAAGTTAGAATTATTTAATTAAAAGTTCAAGTTATTTACATAAAAGTTTGGATATTTCTGTTTTGGCTTTTTAGAGATGAGGAGAACAATGTTAAGGGAAAAACAAGGAAGCTTCAAGGAATGAAGAGGTATGCACAAAATGGAAACATGTTATGCACAATATTTTCCTTAATGTGCGATTACAAAAATTGTGGATAATGAAGAGTATATAATGAATACTTCTAATTAAAAGATAAAATTATATGATTAAAAGTTAAATATATTTAGTTAGAAGTTTGATATTTCTTTTTTGGCTTTTTAAAGATGAGTAGAACTTAGAGAGAAATGAGGAATCTTCAAGTAATGAAGAAGGTATATTATGTCTCTTTTATATGCAAGTATCAAAGCTCTGGATAGTGAAGAGTATAGAATAAGTGCGTCTATTTAAAAGTTGAAGTTAAGTTATTAAAAGTTCAAGTTTTTGTATAAAAGTTTGATATTTCTGTTTTGCTTTTTATAGATAAGCAGAACAATGCAGAGAGAAATGAGGAAGCTTCAACTAATGAAGAAGGTATATCTTATTCTGTTTGAAAAATAATTTATCTAGATAATATCAAAAATTGATCACTTTTAGCAACTTTAGAGCATGCACATATCATATCATGTAGAAGTATTCTGTTTAGTCTTAAATTTTGTAAGAAGTTCTTGCACTCTAATTTATCTTAAAAGTTGCAGCAACTTGATTTAGACTAGACCTTCTATAAAGTATAAACTAGTTCTATTTTCTTTTTATCAGTTTTAGAAACTTTAGAGCTATGATAACTAAATTGATCAAATGATCAAAATGGTCAACTTTTAAACATAATGTGATAACTTTTTGCAATGGAAAGTTACATATTTTTCTTACAGCCCATTAGCTCAATTGGAAGAGCATCGTGTAACCACACGAAGATGTGAGTTCGAATCCCACATGGGCTATCTCAACAAGTGGATCGATGATTTAATTTCTTCCCAACTTTAATTTCATGTAGATGCTCCATTTATTTTAATTGTAGAATGCAATAGATTATGCATATGTCTTACTTAGAGTTGAGTCATATTTAAGTTTAGTATGTTTAAGATGAAAGATATTAACACAATTGATCTTAGTTGAACAAAGGTATCCTGCCATTTCTGTCCCCTTTGACCTCAGCCTCCACCTCTCTTCTTGATCAATAGTTAACCAAAAAATGATGATCCAGTGTGATGTATGCAATAAAAAGGAAGTTTCTCTTTGTGTTGCAGATGATGCTTCTTTGTTTCAGGGATGTGACCCCAAGCACCACGGGGTAACTCTTCTCCACTTCACCCCTCTGTGATATTTGCAAAGAGAGGATGGTTTTCTTTTTCTGCCAACAATAGAGTGAGCTTCTGTGCAGAGATCTAGTCAATGAGCATACCAAGAAACAAAATAGGTTACTTCTCACTACAGTGAAGTTTTCTTTCACCTCTGTTTTCTCCTCCTCCGCTTCAGATTCTGCTAAAACCGCCATTTCTCGTGGAGAACATGTTCCTAATTTGAAGTCTTGAGGATCCTAAAAATGGTGGTTTCACCCAGCCGGATTTCAAAGACGGCAAAAACTTCAGAGGTTGTTTCAAAAACTAAAAAATGATATATGAGCAGGCTATGCGGGATTTGAACCCGCACCTTCATGCAAATATGCATATTGCTCTACCAGTTGAACTAATAGCCTTGATATGAACATTGCGTGAAAGATAAATTAAAATTAAAGCATCCAAAGCAATAATTTAGAGTCAATTATAAACCAAATAATCTAGATAAATCTGAATTAGTTTATAAGCATGTATTTGTATTATATATTTTCTCAAGACTAATTAAATCACAACAAAGCAGTAACCAACTTTGGAATATCTTTGCAGAAATTTTATTAATTCATACTATCAAAGAGGAAGGAAATTAACCTATGACATCTCAACTATAAAATTATAATTACAGATATGAAGCTATCTAATCTATGCTACCATGAAGTTAATAGTTGTCTAAACTTTAATATGCAGGGAACTAATAACTAACTTTCTCTAAAAAAAATTAAAATGGCAGATATGCAGAATCAAAGAGGAGAACTTCACTATGACTTTAGTTTTTCAAGATTTTCCATATACACTAAATTTCATTTTTAGCCCTTTTTTAAGTACAATGCAGTGGGATATAGTGCACTCAAATTTACCATAAATAGGATGCACTAGGGGTTGTTCAAATGAAATCGTGTAACATAATAGCAGACAAAGTTTCAAATCTAGATCATAAAAGAGCCCCAAGTGATCATTACCCTGTCCTGCATGTCTTTTAGTATCACATCCAATTTTGGCCTCAAAAGTGTTACTCTTGTAGTGGCTTTAATCTGGTGTGTATTCAATAGAAGAGTTATTAATCTAATCATAACACTTGTTGCTTCAATTAATGCCCACCAATTGAAGCCAGTATAGCAATGGACATAATCAATCAAGTGCTCCAAGATAGCAACTGCCAAAAAGGAGTCTGCAGCAGTCATTGGCACCTCATTCACCATTGGAGCTTGAGAAGGCACGGCCTCACTAGCACTATCAGGCAGCACATCTGCAATATTTCTCACATACTCCATCTTATCCACTATCTCTGGTCCAGAAACGAGAGTTTCTAACCACCAACACCGTTACCAGCCAATATATATATGTACTGAATGTAACGGAATACTTTAGTATCATGGGAGTCAGGTTCGACAGTTTTTTCGATCATCATCATGTTGTATGTGCGAAAGAGAAGGTGTAATAAGTTGCTGGTGATAAAAAACTTAGCTCTGGAGGTTACACTCCGTCTGTATGCCATTATTGCCTCTGATGAATACTACTGAGTACTGTACGAAAATAAAAAGTAAAGCTTCAACTCACTCGATTCACATATAAAATAATGAAGATAGAAACTCGAAACGAATCGAAACAAAAGCCCTGTGGGGTGTTTTACATAGTGAAATTAACAATAACTTGTAAGAGAATTTACATAGTTTCTAACCAAAAAAAGTTTCATTTATGCAAGTTCATATCCCACCTTCTCTCTACAAGGGGCCTAAAAGAAATATCACACTTCTATCTTCTATATGATCCTATACATCAACTCGCCACTTCTCTGCAACCTAACTATATTGGCTGAAAATCAACCCATCAAAACACAAAACAATAACCTTCACATGAAGTGGAGCTGGCCACTATGTGTTACAAGTGTATATACAGTGAAGTTAGTTTTAATAAAATTACAGAAATTCATAAAGAAAGGATCATTTCTAATTTTCTATGCACAAGGGCAATATCCTAAGCCCTGCAATTCACATTTTTTTAAAGTACTGTCAAAACCATAAATCATGTAAGTGGAATTAAAGAATTGAATACCATCAATTACAAAAACTTGCAGAGTTTTTAAGTAGCCATTACTCTTCTCAAATGAAGTTTATTAATACTACTTACCATTGAAGCATTTTAGCAAACATTTGGTAGATATAATTTAAATCCACTCCTTCTACAAATGACTATTTCTTTAATACATTCAAAATAAATAATGGAGTATAGTTAATGTTTTTCTCAACTCAGATACAAAGTAATTGAAAAAATTTAAACAATAAACTTCTCTCACCATCGTCGATCGTCATTGTAGCTAGAGCTCCTCGATGGTTGTCCATGACCCGATGAGATTTCACTTTTGGAAGATTCAGAAATAAAGTTGCCTCTGTAGTGATCGACATAGAATAGCAAGGCACAAAAACGAAAAAAAAATCGTGCAGTCTGAAAGCAGATGCAGAGATCAAAGATTAAACAGAGAAGTCTATTATTAAAGAGAGATGGAGGAACGAAGAACTTAGGCATGTAAGGATATAAGGTAAAATAGGATAAGAGGTTTAAAGTTAGTTAAAATAACAAAAATGCCATTAATGAAAGAAGTGAAGTTTTAACGAATAGTGCATCCAAGATGGCCAGATGTGCGGAAATCCAACGGTGGAAAAGGCTTCGTAGTTTTCAGCCCAAAGCAAGCTTCTCATGGGATCTTTTCCCTATATATATATACACACACACATATATATATATATATATATATATATATATACATATATATATATATACATATATATATATATATATACATATATATATATATATATACATATATATACATATATATATACATATATATATACATATATATATACATATATATATATATATACATATATATATACATATATATATATACATATATATATACATATATATATATATACATACATATATACATATATATATACATACATATATACACACACATATATATATATATATATATATATATATATATATATATTAGCAAACTTCTTATCCTATTGGGTGCGATTCCAGTGAGAACACTCCTTAATGTGAGAAATGAGAACGCTCCAAAACGATGCACTTTATCCTTCACAAAACTGCACATTTATAGTTAAAGTAATGCAAAATTCTAATGTGCACATTTACGTTTAAAATTTTGCACAGACAAAATGCACATTTTCCAATTTTTTATATGCACGTTTCTGTTTTACATGATGCACAATGCTCAAATCCAACGCTCCAGAATCATTCTCATTTCTCTCCTAAGATGGTATTCTCATTTGATCCTTACCCTATATATATAGTTCAGTCTCATCAATAGTACTCCCTCCATCCCAAAATGACGGTATTTCCTTTTTGGGATGTCCCAAAATGATGATCATGTTTCCCTTTTTGGAAAGAAATATGTGGTATATATCATTTCAATATATTATATTCGAATCTCAACCACAACTTTTACCTTTTCAACCACTTTATTAAAACTTGTGTCCAAAAGAAATGAGACTATCAAATTGGGAGGAGGGAGTAGTATTTTTTACACCAAGAGAACATGTCAAATAAGGAGTATGTATCAATAGATTTTTTTAAATTTGAGAAAGTTTCCAATATAGGAGTACATAAACAATTAAACTCTTATTTTTTCAGAAATAGTTGCACTACTTAAGCATTAACATGACATTAACGATTTATTTACAATGCACCATCATCTTTCAATCTATAGAATTAGTGGAAAAATTTAGTTATGATTAATAAATTGAGCTTTGAATTAATCACAATTATATTGATATAGTGTGTGATTCAAATCATATTTGGTATTGTGTATGTAGAACAACATTTCTTTTTTTTTTTCACACATAACTTGGAGCGGTGTAAGGTTTTATGGACTTTCAAAAGGAAAAATTGCATGTTTATGAGTTATAGAAATGTACTCCCTCTATTCTACAATTGTTGGCACACAAGCTAGATGATCAAGAAAAATAATTAATGGGTATTGGAATTTGGGAAGTAAAAAATAAGAGAGATGTTGGAGCAAATCTAGAATGAAAAAGTTGTGTAATAGGTTTGGTAAAATAACAATACATCATTTGTAGTCAAAAGTACAAAGGTTGAGGCTTTAGCCCAAAATGCTAGCCAATGACATTAGCTGATATCATGTTGATGTGGGATGATGTCAGTCGTGGGAATAGTACGGCAATCCCTTAATGATGCCAGCCCTTTGGAATTTGAGTTTGTGATGTCATTAGCAATGGCTATAATGTGAGCCCTGAATATGCAAATGGATGGAAATATGGAATGCCCAGGAATTGGCTAAGTCGGAATTTCAGTTTGTGATGTCATTCGCTCGGCCTCTTCCGATAGCGTCAGTTCCAGATCCACAATGGAAATGTCCAGGCTTGGCCTCTTTGCAGTAGCCCGGTCTGAATCAAACTGGGCCTGCCAGAGCGAAGCTATGATGAGATATCGGCCTCGACACGAGACCTCATCCCACTAGGTAAACGACTTGGGTTGCTATATTGGATCGTGCAACATAATTATCAAGGTATGATCAATTAGGATATACAAGGTGTGATAGTGAGGGCAAAATACAAAACAAAGTGAAAAAGATTAGAGAAATGTAGTAAAGAGAAAGAGAATAGGTGAAATAGTATAAAAATACTCCCTCCGTCCCTTAATGTTTGTCCTACTTTGACTTCATAAGTTTTAAGAAAATGAATTTGACTTTACACTGTAGCGACACTGTTTGACACTGTAGCGACACTGTTTGACAATGTTTGGTATAGATTTGTTTACCAAATAAGGAAGTTGAAAAAGTAGGACAAACATTTTGAGACATCCGTTTTGAGAAAGTAAGACAAACATTTAGGGACAGAGGTAGTATATAAAACTTTCCAAGTATATAAAAGTTCAAACAAAGAAAAAGCTCCCCAAAACTATACATTGTTCGACTATTTTAGACTTGGTTGAGTATTTAAGGAATTGTATTCAAGATATTTATGTCCTCACATTTATATGCAAGAATGGTAGATGTAAATTTTTGTTTATATTATAAAGCATCTTTAGACAAATGCCAAATTGGAGCATGATCAAAATTAAGTAGCTTGTGAAGGGAAAGTGTCATCACTCATCATCGATTTCTCTTATTGTTATTTATTTCTCTTTCTTGTAAAGTGGTATCCAAATTGATAAATATCAAAGGTCAATATAGGTGTTAGGTTTGAATCTATTAGATTTTTGTGGAGTTTATTACCAAACTTTTGGTAAACTCTTTAATGAGTTACTTGTTGGGAAAAAAGTTTTGTACTAATTTGTGTCAAGTTGCGCTACACGATGCTTCAACATCTTGGAGTAAATAAAAATGGAAACCATGCAACATATTTACAAGTTTAGTCACAAAAAAAATTGAATATTTGAACTTTCCAATTAAAGCTATGGAGCACATCTTGATCTTTTCAGATCAAGTCACGATGGCCAAAAAATATTAAAAGATTAGAGTTGATTAATGAATGTATGGTGTACATAATAATAATACAATTCCCTGTAAAATCTGTATTAAAATTGAGTTAATTACAACTTTTTAGTAATGTATTAATCATTAGTATAATAACATTATGTCTATTGGATTATATATGTGAGTAATGATTTTAATGATTGAATCATTAAAATATTTTGTGGGTTTGAAAAACATTAAGGAGAGGCCAATATAGATTATGTTTACAATAGAATTAAGTTTAAGTCTTAAGCTCTTTATTGAAAATGATTCAAATAGGGCTAAACATGATGAAAGTGTAAACAAGGATCACAATTTCCCCATGTCATCCGGTAGGAATAAAAGGGAGAATAAATATTAAGAACACCCTTATTTGAAAACCCACGTATATCTACAAGGATGACATCCTGAAACATAGATATCATCGAAGTGATATTATACTTCATTATCAAGTGTTACATATCGAGTCAAATTGACATCACCAAGCAAAAAATATCTTCCTGACAGGAAAATAAATATCCGAGTTTAATTGGCATGGCTGGCTACATGAAAACATGAGCTTGATTATCAATGCATCAAAATGTCATTTCGATTGCAACACGCGTGAATTAACTTGATCACGTGTATACCATATAGTTTACAAATGTGGAAAAAGGCTACATAGAAGTATATAGATCTTAAAATGGGATTAAAAGATAGTCACTCTTATTATTACATTTTGACTATGTTTTAGTTCTATTAAGTCAATTTATTCTCTTTATTTAAGAGTTGATAAGAGACCAACTCATAAATCTTGATTAGAAATGAAGTTGAATGAACCACACACTGATTTGTTCAATGGGGAGTTCAATTCATAGCCACTCATTTACTAAGCACATCCACATACTATCTCTAATAAATAAAAGTATTTTACAATACCTAATGTACGCTTTCATAACATTTAATCGTTTTTAAACACAGGCCCAACAGGCCCAGGAAGCACAAGAGGCCCAAAGTGCAGCGGTCCAAGTGTCAAGAAGCCCACGGTACACGTACGGATGCCTTCGGTCCCACGACCGAGGGCTCTAAACTCCAAGAAACAACTGACCTTCTACATACAAAGCTACTGGGAGAAGGCGACAAAATCAGAAGCCTTCGGCTCACAGGAGCTTGGGTAGCCTTCGGCTACATAGAGCCCTCGTCCACAGGGAAGCCTCCGGCTACAGCACAGACATCGAAGATTCCCTTTAGAGACAAGCAAACAGCCGCATTTAATGCGGCGTCACATCCACCCACCGCATTTAATGCGGTGCACATGTAAATGCCGGTGCCATCTCGATTGAGGTGACCCTCGACCGTCAGATGCTTGACACGTGTACTCTCATCGCATTTATTGCTGCTATAAATAGCATCCCATTCTCCATTGTAAATCATCACAAGTTCACATATTCGAATACACTTTCTCTCTCTTACTTATTGCTCTGACTTCTCTCTAGGTTATTCACCGTAATAGCCCCTCGGATAAGTTACCCCCGAGTACGCTATCCATCATATGGTGCTCTCGTTAAGAGGTCGAACAATCAAGTAAGAAACCCTCCCCTCCACCAAACACAAAAGATGGGAAGAACCACTCGTGCCCAGTCCAAGATTCTCGAAGACAACAACCTGGCCCTCGGCGAAGTCGACGCCCCCGGAGCCTCCAACAAGGCTCTCGAGGGTGGAGTCATCGCTGGGTTGGAACAGGATGATGTTGGCCTACGCCTTTAACTCCAGCAGAATGTTCCTGATGCCCGCCTTGGCATCGAGACTCGAAGGATGGATCAGAGCGAAAACCAAGTGAGCCCTCTGGTCCTCACCATTGACGTGCAGTCAACGTTTTCTCCCTTCATCCAGACACTCACCCAGAATCTAGGTGCCTTCGGCACTGTGGTACCACTTCAACCACAGGTTGGAGAAAATATTGTTCCTCCCCCACCTCCACCCCCCTTCGCAAACCCCATCCTTCGGTTGGGGAATAACGAAGGGGTCATGGCTCAGGACACCGCATCCCAGGAAGTCCAATCCCGGGATCAGCGCGGTGCGAATAAAGAGAGGCCTCGGACCTCCGCCCTCGACAGGCTTGGAGGGGTGCAAGATCGCCGAGGGGTCCAAGACCGCCTCGGTGGTAGGGCATTCCAAAGACCTCAGGAGAGCGGGGGATCTGTATCAAG